TAGGAATATACAATTCAATGCAATGCCAATAAAGCTATTAACCATATTGATTTGATTATAGGACTTAACAAGTTGATTCTAAAATTTATATAGGTAAAAAAGCTTCAAAATAGTCAAAACACTTATGAAGACAAAAAAAAAAAAAAGGAAAATTTGTCCTAAAACAAATGAAGATTATGTATAAAACTATAGTAATTAAGACAGTGTGACACTGGCCCAAGTATAGAGAATTTCAACTTTAGAAAAAGAGAACTTAGGAACAAACTCCCACCTACACAGAAACTCTATGTCAAAGAGCTGGCTTTGTAGGAAATTATCATAAGGAGGGACTATTCAATCAGTAAATGGTGAATGATAGTCGGTAGTGTGTAAATCCTGCAAAATTGTATTCATATCTTACACTACACACAAGAAACAATTCCAGAGGTGGGAGAAAGGGGGATCTACTACGACAGACAAAGCTTTAAAACATTTAGATGAAAATAACTTAATCAAATTTGGTAGGAAATATATTGTTAAACAAGATATACAGACACATAAAATAATAATAAAAAGATCATAAAATAAAAGATGGATAAATCTGACATGTTAATTTAGGAATGGCTGCTCATTAAATAATATCAGAGGAAATAAAAAGCATATACAAACATGCTCAATTTCATTAATTATTGGATAAATGTTAATTAAGTTCCCAGTAAGATTTCCCTTCATACCCATTGTTACTGCTGTTAAGCACTGTGCAGCTGATTTTCAGCTCATAATGACCCCATGTGACAGAGGAGAACTGCCCGATAGGGTTTTCTAGGTTGTAATCTTTATGGAAGAAGATTTTCAGGTCTTTCTCTCTTGGAGCCACTGGGTAGATTTGAACCATTGAACTCTGAGTTAGCAGCCAAGCACTTAACTGTTGTGCCACAACCACTACATTGGAGAATGAAAAGTTTGGACAGTACTCAGTGTGTCAGGAATGTGAAGTAAAGGGAACTCTTAGGCATTCTGTAAACAATTTTGCGTTATCTTCCATAGTTCAACATTATATAACATGCTCAGCAATTCCATTTTTAGAAATATTGGAGAAATTTTTGCACACTCAGTTCAGGAGACTTGCACAAGAATATTTTTGTAATAGCAAAGTCTGTAAACAGTCCACGTGTTCATAAACAAAAGACTGAGTGACAAAAATATGACTGTAAAAATGCAATCTGAAGGAAGGTAGGATTTTTGTTGTTGCTTTTTTTTTGTTCCTAACTACTTTATGCCAGTACCTAAAACTGGCCTTAGAAGTGGAAATGCAACAAATATCTGTTAAGCAAATGAAAGTACATTCATATCATAGAATATATAGTTATGATAATGAATAAATTACCACCACATGCACCAACATGGACAACTCTTATAAACACAATTCTGGTAAATAAAGTTGACAAAATTACAGAATACATGATGTCTTATTTTAGAAAACTTAAGAGCAAGTAAATTTTAAGTAATCATAATTTAGGATACATATGTATATGATAAAGCTCCTTTATAAAGGGTAGAAAATGATAAATTCAGAACAGTTTTATTTATTTTTTCATGAGATGAGGCAGGGATGCTACAGAGCAACAGCAAACAACCAGCTCCACAGTGATCAATAACACTCTAGCTCTTAAACTGAGTAGTGTGCTCGTGGGTATTCATTGTTTATTGTGCTTTAGAACCACTATAAAAAGATATTTAAAAAGATATAAAGCAAGAAAAAAAATTCAGTTTTCATTTCCATTCAACCAGCCACCTATTGATCCTTGCACCACCACCATCATCATTGCCATGGCCACCATCACTACCATTCTTCCCACCAATCAATCTACATCAACAGCATCTCTGGCCTAGGTTATAGCTGTATCTGGACTCTTGTGTCACAATCCATTATTCACTTCTAACTATATATATATTGTTGTTGTTGTTATGTGCCATTGAGTTGGCCCCAACTCATAGCGACCCCTCCTTGGGTTTCTGAGGCAGTATCACTACAGAAGTAGGATTGCCCAACCTTCCTTCAAGAAGTGGCTGGTGGGTTTGAACCACCAACCTTCTGGTTAGCAGTCAAGTGCCTTAGGCAGTATGCTACCAGAGCTCCTATGTATATATGTAAAATCAAGCTCACTGTTTAGACTCATAGCAACCCCTCCTTGGGTTTCCAAGGTGATATCCCTATGGAAGTAGGTTGCCCAATTTTGTTTATAAGGAGTGGCTGGTGGGTTTGAACCACCAGCCTACTGGTTAGCAGTCAAATGCCTTAGGCACTATACCACCAGAGTTCCTCTAACCATACGATGCTTCTAAAAGGATCGTTTTAAGATCCTTCTAAAGAGCAGTTTGGATCATATCATCCCTGTGATTAAACTCTTCAGACAGCTTTCCCTTGTCCTTAGGATAAAGTAAACTTTTTCAACTTGTCACATTTAGAGTACTGTTTGCCTCACCAATATCATTTCTTTTCACTCCTCTTCTTTGCTTCAGTTACCCTTCAGACTTCAGCTGAAATATCACCTCCTGAAGCAAACTTTCCCTTATCCTACTTTAAAAGACCATGTACTTGCAGTTACTCTGTCTTTGCCCATGTCTTTCCTAAGTGCAAACTTTGCTTAGTGGCCGATCTACCCTGTTGGATGTTTACTTAACAGTGCTGATAATAGTACATAGTAGTTAGGATTTACAGCTACTGGATAAATTTCTTTCACATGATCAATATATTAAATTTAACCCTAGTTCTAGATGTGGAAATTGACTAGAGTTTGTGATCTTGTTTACTTACCTGTAAAAGAAGGATAGAATTGTTTACCACAAAGCTAGTAATGTTGATAATTACATATAAAATATACAAAAATACATACAAAATATATAAAATAAATAATAAAAAGAAACAGTAAACAATATGGATACACTATATACTATATTCTAAGCTCCTTGGGAGGAAGGATTATATTTATCTTTGTAATTTTGGTGCTTATCATAGTCTGTGGTCAATTCTCTATAAATATACTTGGGAGGAAGGAGTGCTGGTGGTACAAAGGTTAAGCACTTGGGTGCTAATTGAAAGGTTGGTGATTCAAATTCCCAGCCCCACTATGGGAGAAAGACTTGGCAGTCTCCTTCTGTAAATATTTATAGCTTTAGGAACCCAATGGGACAGTTTTACTCTGTCCTGTAGGGTCACTATGAGTCAGAATAGATTTGATGGCAATGGGTATATTAGGAGGGCCCAAAATATGATGGAGTCTTCCGTACCTCCTATGCTTCACACTGAAACAAGAAAATTAAGACATCTGAAATGCACTCTTAATCTTTAAAATTTCAGCTTTGTTTACTGAAGTAACTATGATTACATGAAGGAGGCTCCATGGCACGGTGGGTAAGCTCTCAGCTGCTAACCAAAAGGTTGGAGGTTTGAACCCACTAGCTGCTTCACTAGAGAAAGATGTGCATATCTGCTCCCATAAAGGTTATAGCCTTGAAAATGCTCTGGGGCAATTCTGCCTTGCCCGTAGGGTTTCTATTACTTGGCATTGACTTGACAGCAATGGGTTATGATCACATGAAGGAAACATCTACCTGAAACATTCCTATGACTATGCCAATAATGGAGGGTAGATAAAGCAGAGGGCATTTTAGGGCAATGGAACTATTCTTTGTAAAACCCTTATGGTAGGAACAAGGCATTATGCATTTGTCAAAACCCAAAAAACTGAACAATACAAAGAATGGATCTTAATATAATTATGGACTTTAGTTCATAATAATGTATTAATAGTGGTTCATCAATTGTAACAAACATACCAAACTAATGCGAGATAATAATAATAGGGGAAACTGGAGGGCGAAAGGGGAGTACGTGAGAACTCTGTACCTTCTGTGTATATTTTTTCTGTAAACTTAGAACTGCTCTGAAAAATAAAATCTATTAGCAAATATCTGAATTTTTTTAAAAAACAAGCCTCTAGTAGCCATTAATCTCCTAATAGTTTTAAAACAGAATTTTGATATGCGCTGCTTTGCTGAATGAGAAAATTTATGTAATTGTTAATGATTTTTTATTAAAAATTATTCCCCTAAAACATAATAAAAGGAGGAAAAAACACAAATATTTGTCTTCCTGAATCTTATACGATGTCATTATGTGACTCTGAAATGACAATGTCAATTTAATTCACTAGAAAACTTTGAAACAAGTTAAAATTTCTTCTGTAATTGTTTACAATTACTTGAACCACTTCATTGCATTATTGTCACAAACATTTTTGGCATTAATGTTTCCATGTTATAACATCTGTCATTTTTTATATCATGCAAATTTGCTGTAACCAGTCTTAGCCTCTATACCAATGGTCTTGTTGAGCTAGCAATACTAATAATGGCTTTCTACATCTTAAAAACCAGTTGCCATTGAGTCTATTCTGACTTAAGATGACCCCAAGTGTGTCAGAGTAGAACTATGCTCCATGGGGTTTTCAATGGCTGATTTTTTAGAAGTAGACTACCAGGACTTTCTTCTGAGGCACCTCTGGGTGGACGTGGATTTCCAGCCTTGCGGTTAGGAGCCAAAAATCATTAACCACTTGTACCACCCAAGGACTCCTACCTAAATATTAGAAAAGCAGCAAGTCTTTACGAGAATCACCTTTGCTTAAACAGATACAAACCCTGGCTCTACTACCACATAGCCATGTATCTGACTCTCTAAGTACTCACACTCTACCCCTCTTCCACCACTTCTCCTCATCCTTGTCTCTTCCCCTCTTAGTAATATGGGGGTAATAACAGAACCCTTCTCATGGAAAGGATAGGAGGATATGTTGAGATAACACACATAAAGTGTTAAACTCAATGTCTGACACTTATTAGAGGCTCCATAACAGTTAACTCTTTCTGTTAAATTAGACAGAACTTCCAGAAAGTTGTAGTATCTGCATATGACAGCTTGGTCCCCAGAATCCAGTCATTATATAGCACAGGCATACCTCTTCAGGGCATCCACTGTCTACCCAGTCCTGCCGATGGCGATCAAATCCACTGGAACATCTTGAAAGAAGACCACATGGGAGTCCAGAAAAGAACATATAGGGTGAGGGGTAAAGGGCAGAAATTAAAAGAAAAAGATTGGTAAGTAGTCAAGTCTTGAATTTTCATTTTAGCACAGTATATATTGTCTTTCATGGAACTGTTAACTGGAGTGTGAAACATTTACAGGGCAATTCACTAATCACTCACTTGTTAGGCTATCACTTTATTATCATCTCACATTGTTGTTGTTGTTATGTGCCGTCAGTCGGCCCAACTCATAGAGACCCCTCCTTGGGTTTCCAAGGCAGTATCACTACGGAAGTAGGGTTGCCCAACCTTCCTTCCGACATAGTAAGCTATTATTCTGCTGAGGCAGACTGCAATATGCAGAGCCCGAATCCCTACACAAAGGTAAAAGCAATCAGTAGGCTATGAAATTGGTTTTATTTTTCCTCAAATTTTATTTTATTATCATCAAAATGAATAGATAAACATTTTTTGCAAGTATAGTTTTAGCTTAGTTTTTCAAGTTATCAGATCTTTTTATTCAATTTTAGGTCACATATTACACAGACACAGGAGTCACACAAACCCTTCCTCTATGATTGTCCATGCATCAAAGGTCTAATTCAGCAAGCAAGATTGACGAAGATTCCATCCACTCATATCCTCTTTCTTGGCTGGAATAATTTTCTATCCATTCCTTCCCTATCTTTTAGGTACAGCCCATTTTTCAAGGCTGAGCAAATACTGCCCAGAGCACATTTTGATAAAGCTTCCTAATCGCTGTGATGACATCCTGCTTTACTATGTAACTTTGTTAAGGTGAGTTTTCACATGTTTATGTCTTATGTACCAAACTGGGTTGTGAACATTTTAAAGAGCTAGCATCAGTGCCTCATACTGGTCTTCTCTGGTCTGTCTGATGCATGATTTCTTTTTATATTAGAAATTTAAAATAGTTTGCTAGTCTATTTAAAGATTAAGGGTTTATATTGCCTCTTCATTTTAATATTGAATCTTAGTATTAAAACTAAATATTATATAACATGTTTATAACTATAAAGAAATATCTATATTTAAATAAATATTTATCTGTATTTATGAAGGGAGCTCTGGTGGCATAGTGCCTAAGGCATTTGACTGCTAATCAGAAGGCTGGCGGTTCAAACCCACCAGCTACTCCTTGGAAGGAAGATTGGGCAATCTACTTCCATAGAGATACTGCCTCAGAAACCCAAGGGGGGGGTCACTATGAGAATCTAAATAGATGTTCATATATTTTTCAAAATAAATGGATGCCATTCAACTTTTGTTTTATATTGCCTATTTGTGGTTTAGTGGTTAAAGCATTTGGCTGCTAATCAAAAGGTTGGTGGTTCCAACCCACAAGCTAATCTTGAAGAAAAAGCTGAGGCAGTCTGCTTACGTAAAGATTTACAGTCTTGGAAACCCTATAGGACAGTCCCATTCTGTCTCATGGGGTCACTATGCGGTGGAATCCGTTCAATGGCAGTGGGTTTGGGTTTATTGGCTTCTAAGTGGTATTTTGCATTTTTCTTTTTTTTTACATTTAAATTATTATTATTATTTTTTTTTTGCAGTGAGTTCACATGATGACTCCTTCTAAAGATCCTTGCCAGAGATTATGTACCATGGCATGAATGAGCATAATTTAATTCAAGTGGAATGTGAAAACAACTTTACTGTCAACAAAAAGGACTGTGTCTGTCATTTTCTTCAGACATGATCCATTAAAGCTCAGCTATTTTATGCCTACCATCTGTGTCGAACAAGTTTAAGTGTGGAATAAACATCAGTGTGTGATCTGGCATTATAAATTGAGATTCTCCAGTTGGTCAAGGCCATCTCCCATCACCCAATGAGAATCTGACATGTGGAGTCTATTTAATTCCAGAGTCAGATGATATTCTCTCATCTTTTTTTCCTTTGAAGTTTGACTATATATTGAAGAATTTATTGATATTCTCTTTTACAAGATGAGGAATTACTGATTTTCTATGGAAAAAGATTGCTTGGGAGCTATTTGATTACAAGTAATTAAACTGAACAGATAATTTGTAGAATGTAGTTTGTTTTCACTTACTTTTTTCCAGATGTATCCAAAAGCAGTAAAGAAAAAAAGGGTAATTTTACCTTATTTTATATCAAGATAGTACCAAATTTTGAATTTGTGACCTGAATGAAATTTTGTCTTAAGGGTTCTTAATGCTGAAATTCATTAAATTATTCACATGGAAAAGTACAGAAACATTGCAATTAATTGAATTTATCTAAATAATAATCTAGTTACACTGTGTGACATTAGGAACTACTGAAAAAATGTGATTCAATTCATTCAATCACCACTGATTCCCTATTAATTGGTCTGTCAGTTCACTAATTGCTAAGATGGGAAGAAAGGCAAAGCACAAATAAGATTTGGTCTTTTTGTTTGAAAGACAAATATAACTGGACATTGCTTTTTCAGCATTTTATTTTATAAACCTGTAAACGTAAATGCACCCAACAGGAAAGATAACCAGAGGTGTATGTGCATTATAAAACATTAATAAAAGCCACTTTTATATAATTTCTGGAGTCTAAATAAAACAAAAATCACATTTGTGAACACTACTGAGTTAATGCTTTGTTTTTGTAAAATACAACTGCATTAACCATGTCATGCTTCAGCATATTAATTTCTTATTTCTGAACATAAACAGTGTTTCTCAAAGAGGCTTTCCTACATTGGAATCACCCAGGTTGCTTGTAAAAATGAAATTCCTGGGTCTATTGAGTCAGAGTCTCTGGCAATCCAGGCCAGATAATAAGCATCACAAGGTGACTTTGGTTGTTGTCCTTAGATGCCGTTGAGTCATGTCTAACTCATCGCGACCACATGTGCAGCAGAACGAAACACCACCCGGCCCTGCGCCAGCTCCGTGATCCTTGCTATACTTGAGCCCATCGTCTCAGACACTGTGTCAATCCATCTAATTGATGGCCTTCCCCTCTTTTGCCCTTCTATCTTACCAACCATGAAATGCTTCTCCAGAGAATGGTCCTTTCTGACAACATGACCAAAGTAGGGGAGATGAAGTCTGGCCATTCTTACTTCCAAGGAGCACTTCAGCTGCACTTCCTCCAGGACAAATCTGTTAGTTCTTTTAGAAGTCCATGGTATTTTCAGTATTCTTCACCAGCACCACAACTCAAAAGCATCAATTCTTCTTTGGTCTTCCTCATTCATTGTCCAGGTCTCACATGCAGATGAGGCAACTGAAAATATCATGGCTTGTGTCAGGTGCACCTTAGTCCTCCAGGAGACATCTTTGCTCCTCAGCACTTGAAAGAGATCCTTTGCAGCTGACTTGCTCAATGCTATATGTCATCTAATGTCCTGATTGCTGCTTCCATTGGTGTTGATTGTAGAACCAAGCAATGTGAAGTCTTTGACAACTTCAATCTTTTCTTCATATATCATGATGCTCCTTATAGATCCAGTTGTGAGGATTTTTGTTTTCTTTATATTGAGATATAATCCATAATGCAGACTGTATTCTTCAATCTTCATCAGTAAGTGCATCAAGTCATCCTTCACTTTCAGCAAGCAAAGTTGTGTTGCCAGCATATTGCACGTTGTTAATGATTCTTTCTCCAATTTTGATGCCACATTCTTTTTCATATAGTCCAGCTTCTTTGATTATTTGCTCAACATATAGATTGAATTAAGTATGGGAAAAGGATACAACCCTGACACACTCCCTTCTTGACTTTCAACCATGCAACATCCCCTTGTTCTGTTGAATGACATCCTCCTGGTCAATGTAAAGGTTCCTCATGAGTACAATTAAGTGTTCTGGAATTCCCATTCTTCTCAATGTTATCCACAATTTGTTATGATCCACACAATAAAATGCCTTTGCAGAGTCACTAAAACATCTTTCTGGTATTCTTTGCTTTGAGCCAAGATCCATCTTACAGAAGCTATGATATCCCTTGTTTCATGTCCTCTTCTGTATCCAGCTTGCCCCTCTGGAAGTTCTCTGTCAGTATACTGCTGCAACCGTTTTTGAATTATCTTCAGTAAGATTTTCCTTGTGTGCAATATTAATGATGTTGTTCAATAATTTCCACATTCTGTGGGATCACCTTTCTTTGGAATGGGTACATATATGGATCTCTTCCAGTCAGTTGGCCAGGTAGCTGTCTTCCAAGTCTCTTGGCATAACTGAGTGAGTACCTCCAGTGGGGCATCCGTTTGTTGAAACATCTCAACGGGTATTCCATCAATTCATGGAGCCTTGTTCTTTGCCAATTCTTTGAGTGCAGATTTGACTTTTACCTTCAATACCATTTGTTCTTGATCATATCACACCTCCTGAAATGGATGAAGATCTACCAGTTCTTTCTGGGACAGTGATTATGTGTATTCCTTCCATCTTCTTTTGATGCTTCCTGCATCATTCAATATTTTGCTCATTGAATCTTTCAATATTGCAACTCAATGCTTAAATTTTTTCCTCAGTTCTTTCAGCTTGAGAAATGAAGGTGACTCTTAAAAGACTGAAATTTGAAAACCACTGCCTGATAATACAGTATGACCAGACCTATTGCCTACTCTTCCAGCTCCATCTTCTATAACCCATTCTCACATACCTTACACCCCAAGGATAGCAAATTGCTTGCTATTCCCTGAATGTTTTCTCTTATGACAGTTTTTGAATGTGCAATTTTCATGTCTAACTTTCCTTGTTTCTAATTAGTAAATCCAATTGCAATTTGACTCTGGTCTTATCTCCTCTGAGAAGCATCTCCTCTTCCCACCAGAGCAGTAAGCAACTCTTTCTCAGTGCTTCCTTAATAGCAGGTATAACTGTCTATTATTATACTGCAATTGTTTGCTTTCATGTCATCTTACTCACAAGACTGCTGAAGAACATAGTTGAGAGTGAATCTCTGGAGTTAAACTGCTTGAGCAAGAATCTAGGCTAAGGATCAGACTCACAATGACC